CGCCACCATCGACGCGATGCTGAACTACGGTTTGTATGGCCGTTGTGCTCCGAACTTTTCTCAGACGCCGTCCAAGGGTGAGCTGCCAAAGGCTGACCCGACGGCTACATTCGACTACGGCTACTGCATCACCCGATATTCATGGCTGCCAATCTTGGGCATGATCGTTTACCTGAGCAGCTTCTCCGTAGGTAAAAACTCAACCGCAACAACATTACCTCATTTACATACAGAATTCAGGTCTTGGACCCATACCGTGGACAATCAATGCGTAAGCGTAACTCATTAAACTTGTGCAACGACTAGGTTATTGGCACATGATTTTATTTCCAGTGAAATATATCCTAACTGGGCTCGCAGCATAGGAAATTCTGCCTCTACGTTCACCAACTGGACTTTCAACATACTTATATCTTTCACGTTCTTGACGCTCAGTCGGGCCATTACTCGACAAGGTACGATTTGTTGCATGGAAGTTTCCGACCTTCACTGGAACCGTTTCTAGGGGCGTTTTTCCTCTATGGCTGCATATGCGTTGTGGGTTTGATATTCTTCTATTTGCTTGTGCCAGAAACAAAGGGCATGCGCATCGAAGATATCGAAGAATGTCTGCAGACGTCATGGATATACAAAAGCAAAAAGTAATGTAATTTTAATTTTAATAAAGCCTTATGGTATTCATACTCTCACGCAACAAAATTGCGTTACAACAATGAGTAGAATGAGTAGAATAAACTTGTTTTTTATGCGTGGAGGACAGGTAAAACTGTCGTTTGACTTTCTCCATGACACAGAACCAAGATTCGTGATTTTTTTTTAAGAAATTTAAATCATTTGTATTTACTGACCTGTTTAAACAATTGGTTCAATAGTAACCAAAACCCGGAAGCATTCATCTTAGCTGAACATTAAACCCAAGATTTCGCAATTCACGTATGCTCATCAGGATGTACTGCACTTTCATCAATTATCGAATAAAATGCCTAGAAAAATGAATCTCCTCAAAGAGTGTGAGATGTGATCGTGACTCTCTAAATAAATTGGGGAAATGGACAAAACTATAATAATAAAAGCAGATTTTCGTGATGTTGTGCATACACAAATGCACTCAAACATTCCTCACCTCTAACTCAATTTAACTCGTTGTTAGGGCGTCAAGAAGGCATATCTTCTCTCTTCCAGAGCACATTTTAGTCGGTGATTGTTCAGCATTTCTTTTGAGTCCTTTCATGAATTGTTGCGAATACCTCTTCAACCTGCATTTAGTACAATTCATTCATGCTGAGGTTTCGGTTAGGAACCGATATCACTGATGAGTGATGACCAGTACTTCTGACTCAGCTTAACGAAGCAGTCTTGCACTTCCAGATGTTTGCTTCAACAGAGGATTCAGGAATTTGAACCATTTTCTGCTTACATTTAAACCGATTCCTGAAACGTTGCCTATTCAAGGGTACAAGTCGCTGTAACTGTTAGAACGATTCAAGGAGCAATAATATAATGAAGCAGTGACCACCGGAAATAGCTCCTCTTAGCGTCATGTGAGGTCCAATAAGTCGTGAAAACTGCTGGACATGCTAGTCCATAATTCTACCATTTAAACTCAGTGTCGAATTCAGAAAGTGTTTCATCACCTTGGCAATATAGCCTTCCTCTTAAGGCTTTTCCCATTGGAAGTCACAATGTTAGCTATATATGAGTATAACCTTAATTATATTCCTATTACAACGCTTCGCACATTTTATAGGTCTGGCAAACGTTCGATGAACCTGAACATCGTCTATCCGGAGAAAAGTTCCCATGCTGCAAATCCTCCGGGGACACCTGAGCTCACAATAATGACTTCTTTTTAAGCAACAGAGCATAATGTAAATCTCTTAATTACATCATCAAATTTTGTACAAAGATGCAACGGAATTTGTAAAGTCTAATGATTTGCATTTGCCACTTGTGTGTTTTTCATGGAAAAAATTGTTTAAATGTCTAACCATTAGTAGAATCTTTTTTTAGCAATTAGAGTGTATGGATTACTGCTCAAAGTTAGAGAGTTGATTGAAATACCAACGATTCTCTAAACAGAAACGGTAAACACGAACACTTATTACAAAAATTATCACTCTGAGGGTTCCAGTCACAGTAAGATGGTGCTGTTTATTATAACTGCCGACTTTTGACTCAAACAACGTCTTAGCCAACATCGTTCGCGCTGAGGATGGCCATGTGGTTGGACGGAAATGCTGCCGTTGTAAGAAAGACGACAATCTGGCTGTTTCAGTGTGTCTAGAACCATCGAATTGACAATTTATCGAAGATAGCGAAGATAAAGAATTAAAATGAATCTTAGGGATCTTGATCACCTGTGTTTCGTCATATTAAATTCTTCACAATGAAATGCGCATCGTCATAATGATCAGATAAACGTCTATAATCAAAGCGATCCGAGAACGGTCAAGTTTCATCGAAATGTCATACAATGGACCAATGACCTCATTGTATAGCAGTCCGTTCATAGCATTGTTTTTGGGTATGTTATTTAATAACGATATGTTTTTGTTTATTTTGTATATGTTAAGAGGGAGGATCCCTGATGATCTTGTTCAATGAATAAATTTTCAATTTTTGCTTGAATTTTCAGACGAGTTACGTACTGTTAAGCAATATCTCTGAATCACCACAGCAATTCTGAAGGTTTGAAACAAATTCAAAAGTTTTCAGCTAAAGAAAGAATAGCAATCTTCAGACGTAGTTGCTGTCCTGCTTTTGAGCTAATGCAGGATTAATGAGGATATAGAATATTTTGGATAAAAAACTCAGATTTCAGTTTTAATAATGTAGCTTTACGATTCCATGTGCATCTCTGAAGAAACTGGATTAAAACGTCCATCAACTGGAAAAGAGCTCATGTCTCTGAGTAATCCATGTGGTCATAACCAACAGTGCGGAGCAAGATTTACAGGGAAAGAAGTCTATTGCAGTAAATTCATTGCCCATAAAGGGGAGCAATTAATAATAATAATAATTACTACATCCCTATTCGCATCAGTACCTTTTATTA